TTGCTGGGAAGACGTTGAGGGGGATATTAGGGAGTGACAAGCAGGTGAGGGGAGTGTTGGGGGGCAAAGTTGTTTGCTGGGGCTGAGGTTGGTTGTTAGAGGCAAGGTTGTTGGGGGTTCTCTTCTACTTGGGCTCTGTACCATGAGCTGGCCATGCTAGTACAGCCTGCAATGGAACAAACCCTGCAGACCCAGGGGAAAATCAAAGAAGAGAAGCTGCAGTGGGGATGAAAGACAAAGAGCCCTTTGAAGCAGGGGATGCCCTGCTGGTGCTGCCTATTGCATCCTCTGCTGGCATGTTCTTTCTCTGTCTTCTTGGCGGTTTGCTGTCTCTCCAGGGTCAGATAGTAATAGTGCACTTCTAGGGAGCTTCTACTTCCTGTTTACAGGGATTATAGTGATACTGGGGAGTGAAGTTGGGGGGTGATGGGGTTTCACTGGGGTTTACCATCAAGGGGTGATGCTGTTGCAGAGGTGATACTGGGAAGGGATGCTGGAGGGCGATATCAGGGTATCACTGGGGAGTAACATCAGGGAATGACGCTGAAGGGTGATGATGCTGGGAGTGATGGGGTATCAGTGGGGTTTAATATCAAGGAGTGATGCTTGAGGGGAGATACTGAAGTGACAGTGGTGCTGGAGGGATGTTGGGGGTGATACTGGTGATATTAAGCAGTAACAATTGTTAGGAGGTGATGTTGGGGTGACACTAGGGTGATGTTAGGGAATGACGTTGGGAGCGATGGGATATCACTGGGGGGTGACCTCAGGGAGTGATGCTGGGTGATGATGTTGGGGGGTTCCACTGGGGTGACGTTGGGATGACCTTGGATGATAATAGGGAGTAAAGTTGGGGGGGTGATGTTAGTATCACTTGGGGCTTTCAACAGGGAGTGATATTGGAGGCTGATACTGGGGGGTGATACTGGGGTGATGTCGGGCTGTTACTGGGGGGTGACGTTGGGGTGATGCTGCAGGAGGCATGCAGGAATGATGTTGAGGTGACACTGGATTAATGTTTGGCAGCGATGCTGCAGGGTGATGCTAGAGTGACACCGGGGGTAATATTTATTGTTGGGGAGTGATGTTGGGGTATCTCTAGGGGATGACATCACGGAGTGACATTATTTGGGGGATGCTGAAAGGTGATACTGCCATGACATGGGGGTGACTTTTTCAGGTTGTCATGGGAGTGATGTTGGTGGGTGATACTGGGTATCACTTGGGAGGGACACTGTGGGGGTGGGGGGGTGGTGTGGAGTGACATTGGGGTGATATGAGGTGTGATTGTGGGGAATGATGTTGGGGTGTCCCTTCAGGGTGACATTGGAATGACACTGGGATCACGTTGGGGGGGTGGTGTTGGGTGGTGATGGGGGATCACTGGGGTTGATATCAAGGAGTGATGGTGGGGTGATGTTGAGGTATTGCTGGGGAGTGCTGATGCTGGAGGTGACCTGGCTGCCTGTCCCCACAGCCCCAGTGAAGTGCCAGAGACACGGGATGACAACACGGTGACATAGAGCATCCCCACGCACTACAGGGTGGGGATGGTGGCCACCTGGTAAGGTGTGAGTACATCCCTGGATTCCCCTGCACCTCACAGTCCCCAAAGGGGTCCCTGGAATGGGAACACTCCTGTGGCCCGCATGGACACCCCCCCATCCCTTCAAGCTTGAGGTCTCCACCTCGTACCTTAACTTCATCTCAAGACAGACCTGCATTGCTGTGGCACCGCTACCAGGTGCAGCCTCCCATGGCCCCCTGCCTCACTGATCTCACAGACTTCCCTCACTGACCCCCTAGTCCACTTATCCCACTTAAAATCATAGAATTGCTCAGGTTGGAAAAGACCCTTGTCCTGTCACCAGTGAGAATAGACCAACCGCACTCTCACTGCAATCACCTTTCAGGTATTTGAAGAGAGCAATCAGATCTCCCCTCAGCTTCTTCTTCCTCAGGCTAAACAACCCCATTTCCTTCAGTTGCTCCTCACAGGTCATATTCTCTAAGCCTGAAGGGCTTGTGAAACAAGCCTTGTTGCCTTTCTTTGGACCTGTTCCAGCACCTCAATATCCATTCTGTATTAAGGTGCCCGAAACTGAACACTCAAGGTGAGGTCTCACCAATGCCAAGTATAGGGGCAGGATGACTTCCCTAGTCCTGCTCACCACATCATCCCTGATCCAAGCCAGGATGTCATCGGCCTTCTTGGGCACACGGCTGGCTCATATTCAGCCCACTGTCCATCAGCACACTAAGGTCCCTTTCCATCAGGCAGCTTTCCAGCCACTCCTCCCCAAGCCTGTCTGGGGTTGTTGTGACCAAAATGCAGAACCTGACACTTGGCCCTATTGAAACTCATGCAGTTTGCCTCAGCCCATTGATCCAGGCTGCCCAGCTCCCTCTGTAGTGCCCTTCTACCCTCTGACAGATCAGCTCCCAGCTTGGTGTCATCTATGAACTTACTGAGGGTGCGCTCAATCCCAGTCATCAATGAAGACATTAAATAGCAGTGGCCCCAGTACTGAGCCCTGGGGGACACCACCTGTGACTGGCTGCCAACTGGATTTAACTCCATTGAGCATAAGTCTTGCTTGATTTACCCCACTGATCTCACAGCTCCTCCCCACAATTCCCCCTCACTCTCCCCCCCTCCTTTTCTCCAAATTCTGTTTCAGGTGCAGACAGTGCTGCCCTCCACCCCAACCTCCCTGCCTTCATTCTCGTGCCCCACATACTGCCCATTGGCCTGGCATGGTTGTCCCACATCTGCAGGGTAAGCCCAACAGCACTGCCCCACAGCTTCTCATGGTGCCCATCCCACACTGTGAAGCTGGGCTGGGGAGGGGTTATGGGCCCTGGGGGTCGAGGTGGGGCTGGGGATCACTATGGGGTGTAGGAGTTGATGTGGGGCATGGGGTGCTATGGGGCCGCAGGTCACACTCACTGGCACTACTGCAGCAGTCCCTGCCTGCAGAACACTGCCATAGCCATAAGGATGTGGAAGCTGCTCATGCAACATGATGCTGTTGTATCCTCCGCCTCCTGCTGGAGCGTGTGGGGCAGTTGAGAACCTGGTGGCCCCAGTCCTCGCTACTGCCCCCACACCTCAGACACAATCCTTGCATCTGGCCCCAAACCCCCCACCTCAGCCTCAAACCTGTTTCCAAACCCAAGGTCCAGATGGATCCCCTGCCCTACAACCTGAAGTCTGGGCCCTATGCCCCCAATCCTGCATTCTAGATCCTGGGCTCCACACCACAAACCTGTGCTCCACATGCTTGTCCTGAACCCCAATTCCATCCCCGGGTTCAGATTCGGGTTTCAGGACAGGGGCGGGGCAGGGGGATGGATGTGGGTGTGGAGTCCGGGTTTGGTGCTTGGGGCCCGGAAATGGGATGGGAAATGAGAGGCGTGGGGTGTCCAGCACGAGGGGGGCATTTTGGTCCGGATGCGGAGTTTGAGTCACATCCCATCGGGATGAGGGGCCGTAACAAGGACTCCACGACCTATAAGCAGACCCCTCAACTGTGACAACAAAAACAACGAATTCACCCCCAGAAGAGAATGACCCATCGCACCGTACCTTGGTGAAAGCTGCATGAACCCCCAGACCGCCCCAAATCCCCCAAACAGCCCAAAAGCCCGCGCCCAAATAACAACAAAACCGCCCTGGTCGACAAAGCACTACGCATGCGCCAGTTCCGGCAAAATATTACGCATGCGCAAGTTCCAGCACAGCAGATCGCATGCGCTGAGACACCGCAATACGCACGCGCTAGCTGCAGCACACGACTCCGCATGCGCAAATTTTGACCCAAGCAATACGCATGCGCCGGTTCAGACACAGCACTACGCATGCGCCAGTTTCGGCATAACAACACGCATGCGGCAGTTCCGACACAAGAACACACATACACAAGTTCCAGCACAGCACTACGCATGCGCCACCTGAGACATCGCAATACGCACGCGCCAGCTACAGGACAGGACTAGGCATGCGCAGATTTTGGTACTGCATTACGCATGTGCCGGTTTAGATGCAGCACTACGCATGCGCCAGTTTCGACACAACAACACGCATGCGCCAGCTTTGTCACAGCACTATGCATGCGCCAGTTTCGACACAACACAACGCATGCGCCAGTTTTGGCACAGCAGTACGCATGCGCTAATTCAGACGTGACAATACGCATGCGCCAGTTTTGGCACCGCACTACGCATGCGCTCTTATCGATATTGAACTTGTTTTACGTTTGAAGGCCATCATGTAAATACTTCTGTCTTTGGTTGCCTAAAATTGCGAACCCGGTGCTCTGCGGGGCACCACTGAACACTACAGACCAGCTGGGGAAGGGGGAGGGTCTGAGGGGGCCAAGGCGCACATTGCGCTCCAGGAGCTCCTCTGATCCCTCACCGCCTCCTAAAGCCGCCACCGCCGCTTTCCGCCCCTCGTCACAGCACGGTGCAGTTCCGCATGTTGGCCACGCGACGGCAGTAGAGACCGTGGAAACGGCTTCTCCAGTGGGTTCCGTTGTGATTTCAGTGACGAACGCAAAGTTAAACGGGGGGGTTGGGAAGAAAAAAAAAAAAAGAGAAAAGAAAAAGAAAAAGAAGAAAAAGAAAAAGAAGAAAAGAAAAAAAGAAGGAAAAATTCTCCAAACCCAAGAAACCTGTGTTAACTGCTTATGAATATCTGTAAGAAATGATCGAATTTATATTGTCATGGTTTTTTTTTGTTTTTTTTTTAATTGATGCACTAAAATCTCACTATGTGGCATATCTAATGATAGGGTAGGTTAGTGGAGAACACAGGGCCATCTTAATGTTCTCTCAGACACTGTCTTGTTAATATTTTTAATGTTTCAGGTCTTTTTTTTTTTTTTTTTTTTTTTTTTTTTTTTTTTTTTTTTAGTAAATGCCTTTCTTGCATTAAAAAAAGAGGGGAAAATGCCAAAAAGTAGAAGTTGAATTGTTGAAAATGTATGTGATGGTTCTGTTTATAGTAATGGGGAATATGCAAGGTGATTAACAGTGTTTTGCAAAAAATCAAACTAGCCTAACTTAATCATTAGAAAGGTAATATTAAGATCTGGAACTGTGATGTCCTTGTCTCTCTCAGCAGGGCCATTAGAGTCTGAAGGACAGTGGAGAGCTGCTGGTGTGCTGGTCCCAGTGTGCCTCCTCGTGTTCCTTGTCCATGCAGTCCATTCTGATATGTCTCCTGGTCCCATGCTCCTCTCAAGTGACTCTTGGTCCTTGGAGGTCTCCCACTGGAGACTGACCTCAAAGTCACCTTAGGCAGGATGGCTCCTGGGACAGACTTACAAGAGGAGGTGACCACTTGTGCCATCCCTATGTGGTAACCCCTGGGGTTTTTTCTGTTCAGCCATGGGCCAGAAAGAATACCTCAGCCCAGCCAGCTCCCTGCATAGGGCATCTCAGGGACCTCCCCAAAACCTCAGCACAGAGCCTATTGGCTGCTGTGCCACCGAGTGCCACCAGCAAGGAGAGAGCTGCCCTGGGAAGTGAGCAGCCCCTTCACCATCCTGCTGCATCTGTGAGGAGCTGCACCGCAGACACCATGCAGCCCCATGCCATCCTCCTTCTGTTCTTCTTCTTCCCTGGGACCTGGGCAGAGCCAGAGGGTAAGTGGGAACCATGGCTTACCCTAACCCTTTCTTCTCACCTCACAAATCCTCTCTTATGGGGCTGTTGTCAAGCTGGGGACAGGAGATGAAGCTGAGGTGATGGCAAGCTATGGGGGGCCTCAAGGAGCCATCAGCAATGACAAAACTGGGGACACTTCCCCCATCTCTCTTCCCATCTCCTGCAGGCTCCCACATGCTCAAGCTTCTCCATTTTGCCACCTTCCAAAACAGCACCTCCGTGCTTGTGGGAGGACTGGGACTCTTGGGGGACGTGGAAATGGGGTCTCTGGACAGCCGCACTGGGAACATCCACTACTACCGGCCCTGGCTGCGCCCATCCTTGCCGAAAGGTGACTGGGAAGTCATCGAGAGCTCCATCAAGTCATACGTGAGAGATTTCAGCAGGCTGGTGCAGATGTACACCACAGTGCCCTGTACGTGTCCCTTCCCCACCCCATTTCCAAAGTCCCCTCTGGGGCATGAGGGGGCTCTGGGGATCAAGCTTCAATATAGAAGGAACAGTGATCACACTGTGGCAGACTATGATAAACAGTGCATATCTGCTGGGCAGACTGGGGACCTACAGTCACCTGAGGGAACTGTGGGTACTCTCAGCAGCCACATTACAGTCACCCCTTGCCAGCCCAGGCTGCTCTCTACTGTCCTTCCAAACACTAGTAGCCCTGATGGGAGGGACAGAAACATCACAGTTCCAGGGCTGGACATCTCGATGGGCTGTGCAGGAAATCAGACCACAGGTGCCAGATTTGGGCCCTTGGGGACACTTCAGCATCACCACTTCTCTGTGGAGTGGTTCCAGAGAAGGGAAGTGATGTGTTGTGCACATTCCCCTGGGGCTGACTCAGTGTCACTGGGTGCTAGGGCTAAGCCCCAGCAGCCCTGCATGGGCTGTCCCCATATCACCACCATGGCAGGGGACAGCCCAGAAGGAACAGGTTGTGCTTGGAGGGGGATGGGGTGCAGAGAGACTTTGGTGCAGCACTGGATCCATTCCCCAGAGCCCAGCAGCCCCTTGGGGACTCATAAATTTTCCCCAGGGCACCAAGGGGATGGTGTTCTCGGGAGGTGGCAGAGGGACAATATGTCCTTGTCCTGCCTCTGGCTGCTGGACACAAACATTCGCTTGACTGAGCTTTCAACCACCAGGACCTTTTTTTGACATTGGATACAAGAACCATAGTTTTTGGGCATGGGGCAACACTCAGTGAGATCCAAAGGGGCAACAAAGCTGAGTACCTCACATACCAACTCTACCACAATATCCCTTGCCCCCAGACCCTTTTGTCTTCCAGTCCTCCATGGGCTGTGAGCTCCAGTCCAACAGGACCATCAGGACCTTCTTCGACATTGCTTACAAGGGCCAGAATTTCCTCCGTTTCTGCCTCGACACAGGCACTTGGGATCAGATGCAACATAACCAGTTGGCAGCCGTAGCTGAGCACCTTATGGTGAACGACAGCACTCTCAATGAGGTGATCCAAGTGCTCCTCAACGACACCTGTGTGGACATTCTGAGAATTTTCATCCAAGCTGGGAAAGCAGATCTGGAGAGGCAAGGTGAGCTGACCCTGGTGCTGCCACATCAGCTCCTGACGTGGGGGCTGAGCGGTGCCGCACTGCAGTCCCCTCGTTTCCATCCACCAGTGCCACCCATTGCTGTGGTCTTCGCCCGCACGGCCGGCCCAGCGCAACTCCTGCTGGTTTGCCGTGTCACCAGCTTCTACCCGCGGCCCATCACTGTCACCTGGCTGCGGGACGGCAGGGAGGTGCCCCCGAGCCCGGCGCTGAGCACTGGCACTGTGTTACCCAACGCCGACCTCACTTACCAGCTCCGCAGCACCCTGCTGGTATCCCCCCGGGACGGGCACAGCTACGCCTGCCGCGTGCAGCACTGCAGCCTGGGTGACCGCAGCCTCCTCGTCCCCTGGGGTAGGTTGTCCCCCTCGGGAATGCGGCTCCCGAGCCCTGTTCGCTCGGCACGAGGAGCAAGAGAGCTGACGGACTGTGTTCCTCAGAGGACTCCAAGCGGGGACTGAGCGCGGGGCTCGGGGCCGTCCTGCTGCTGGCTGCGGCCGCCGTCGCCGCAGTGTTGGTGTGGAGATACAGGTGAGAGCACCTCCTGCCCCGCTGCTCCTCCGAGAGACCCCCCCTCCCCCTCCCCCTCCTCCTCCCTCCCCGCAGCGCCCACTCCCGTTGCAGAAAGCGACAGCGCGTGGACGAGGAGCGCACCATCCCTCTGGAGGAGCACCGGAGCACAGCGCAGGATGGGACAGCCGCGGGGCAGTACGGGGGCTGCGGCCGCGGAACGCCTGGTGAGGGGAGGGGGCACATCTGAGTGCTTCTCAGCGCTGCACCTCGTGAGGGGACCCCAGTGCTCACGGCAGCTCCCCCAGCCCTGATAAAGATAACCACTTGCCCACGAGCAGCGAGCTGCGCCCTCCCATTGGCACCTTCTGCATTTTATTGCCCACCCACCGCCTTTATTAACCCTATTCCAGAGATATTTGTGCCCAATCCCCCCCTCCAGCGATGCCCACCAGCGGCGCTGGAAGCGCTGAGCAGCGCTGAGCTCTACTGTGCTCCGAGAGGAAAGCGACGCTCAAACACTGCCTTGCTCACCACCGAGATGCGGGTGTGAGTGGGGTTTGGGTGAAAACAGCCAGGTTTGAGGCAAATGGAGCGTGGAATAAATGAATAATTAGACCCATAGGTTGTACAGCTTGTGCGGAAATCCCAACCCACAAGTACTTCCTCTGTGGGCATAACTGTGCTGTGGGGTGAGGTGCTCCCAGATGATGGGGGCAACACTCCAGTCTCAGTCCTGGGAGGAACCCATCCACACTCCCAAACAATTCCAGCTCCGAAAGCAGTGGATCCCAGCAGTGCCTCTGCACACCTCTGGGCAGAACAGGGCTGGGAAGGGGCATGCAGAGGGAGGGGGCTCGAGGTAAAGCCGAGGAGAAGTAAGGAGAAGTGGTGCCCTGAAGGTACGTGCACCGTGGGAGCACCTGAGGGCCTCTGGGGCTCAGCCCTCACCTGGGAAGTTGTAACCCCACATCCTGGAGTCACCGCAGTGCCACCGGGGTCTGAGTGGGCAGAAGCCCCACAGCCCTTCAGGGACACCAATTGCAGTCAGGAGGAGACAGCATTGGGACCACCCACCCCGGCTCTGCGCTTCCCCTCGACTGAGTTTCAGTTCTGCTTTGGCCCCAGCATGGGGCCCATGGGAAAGGGGAAGAGAAACATGTTAGTTCGTGCCTGGGGGTGGCTGGCTAGGGGAAGATAGGGGTTCCTGGTCACCCCGTGACCCTGTGCCCAGCACCCATCACATGCTGCAGCACCCCAATGTTGGCACAAGTGTCCTCACCCTCTGCCACCAGTTGAGTGGTGCAGTTGCTGCGTGGTGACCCAAAAGAAAACAAGATCAGCCTCATTCCCTCCTATGCTTCTCCAGCCCCCAGCTTAGACCGTCCCCAAAACCTCACTGGCCAGCCCCATTGGTGGAGTGCAGCCTTTGGGACCCCACAGCACTTCCTCTTCCCGCCATCCCCGCTGCACTGCTTTCGCTGCAGGCACCATGTGGCCTCACTGCCTCCTCCTCTTTCTTCTCTTCCATGAGACATGGGCAGAAGCAGAAAGTAAGTGGGAGCCCCGGCTCACCCCAGCCATCATCGTGGGACCCTATAGCAATGTGTGTGTGGGGGGGCATGGCTAAGAAACCTTTTCCTGTGTGATGGGGATAGTCTCCAGCACCGAGGGGCTGTCCCCAGCCTCACAGCACCCAAAGGGGCCCCTTTCCATGGCCACTTGCCTCTAGACTGGGGATCAGTGGATGAGCTTTTGCCATGACACCCTGCGTGTCCTTCTACAGCAGAGATGGTCACCTGGGCAATGGGGTACATCCCCCATTCACCCCCTCTTTCCTGCAGCCTCATGCCCTCCCCCTGAAGAATCACAGTTTTTCCAGCTCTTCTACACGTTGCTCTTGGACAACATCAGCTCCACAGAACTGATTGGGATGGCTCTGCTGGCAGATGTGCCCATAGGGGTGCTGGACCCGCACACCTGGAACTTAAACATCTGCCGGCCATGGGTCCACGAGGTCACAGCACAGAGTGAAGTGAAGAAGATTCTGTCCTTCTCTGTGGTTGGCATACGCAATACGATTCGGTTCATGCATGAGATGGCTACAAAGGCAGGGTTGGACTGTGAGTAGGAGGGACAACTGCAGACCAAGCAACAGAGTTTGTGGGATCTTCTGGGGGTCTGACAGCCTCCAAAAAGTGATGGGTTGTGGGGTCTTCTGGCAGGCGCTGACAGCCTCCAAAGGGTGATGGGAAATGCTCTGTCTCCTGAGACTTGTAGTTCAGTGGAGCACTGAAATATGTTGCGGGGTTTCTGCCCCCTGATCCCGCTCCCCTAATATGGGGGACATGTAGGATCTGCTCCCAGAATTAACAGGGCCATGGGAATCACCTGGCATGGATCAGGGAAAGGGAAACAGAAAGGAAAATATTGCAGGGGGACATTCTGGGGGACAGAGTGCTTAAGCTGCCGCCCTGCACTGCTCAGTCCTTCTCCTTTGGCAGCTCATGTGGTCATGGTGCCCATCGTGCCCACACCTCCCCAGCCATCCTCATGTCCCCATGCTCACATACCCTTATGCCCCTCGCAGACCCGTTGATTTTCCAGATCCACGTAGGCTGCAAGCTTTACACCAACGGAACGAGATGGAGCTTTGTCAACATTGGGGAAGGTGGCAGAGACCTGGTGACATACGACCTGAGTAGGGAGCGCTGGGTTCCCCGGAGGTCTACCCCGCTGGCTGAGCTGATGAGCAACACTCTCACTGACCTCCGGGCTGTGTCGGGGCTTCTGGAGCACATCTTCTCCACCTCCTTGCCGAACTACATCCTCATGCTGCACAAGGAAGGGAGGACAGATCTGGAGAGACGAGGTGAGCAATCCTTGTCCCTGGGATAGCCACCCTATTGCTCCCAGGATGAGTTGTGCTCACATTGAACTCCCATCGCTGTTGTCCCCAGTGCCACCCATTGCTGTGGTCTTCGCCCGCACGGCCGGCCCAGCGCAACTCCTGCTGGTTTGCCGTGTCACCAGCTTCTACCCGCGGCCCATCACTGTCACCTGGCTGCGGGACGGCAGGGAGGTGCCCCCGAGCCCGGCGCTGAGCACTGGCACTGTGTTACCCAACGCCGACCTCACTTACCAGCTCCGCAGCACCCTGCTGGTATCCCCCCGGGACGGGCACAGCTACGCCTGCCGCGTGCAGCACTGCAGCCTGGGTGACCGCAGCCTCCTTGTCCTCTGGGGTAGGGGATAGGGATAGGATTTGGGATTTGGGGTGGCCTGGAGCTGCCACACGCTCACGGCTATCCTCTGCTCTCTCCCCATTCAAGAAAACCCCAGTGCATCTTCCACCATCGTCATCACCATCACCATCCTGCTCCTCACTGCCATCATCATTGGGGCAGTTTGGTGGTGGAGGCACAGGTGAGGGCTCTGGCTGTGGGGTCTGAGCTCCCCAAAACATCCAGCATAGCTCACAGTGGTATCCTCTTGCAGGAAACACGCTGGGTCTGGAAGGGATTCCCGGGCATTCCTCATTTGATGCCCACCCTGCACTGAGACCCTCACTCCCTGCTCCATTTCCAAGCCAGCTGCACCGATGGTGGTGACAAAGCAGTGCCACACCAGCAGGGGACAGAGCAGACCACAGAGGAACATGGAGATACGGCCAAGCAGCGTCACAATTCTCAAGCCCAGATCCCGTGGTTTAGGGGAATTCATTGCCTTATGAAAAAGTGTCCCTCTCCTCTTCCCCTAACCCCGTACTGTGTCCCCAGCCTTGACCCAGTGTCTCTTCCTCATCCCAGGGCTCTCACCTCATCCTTTCTCCTACACCCACCGTATGTCCCCCCTCACAGCCCCAGTCCCGTCCCTGCACCCCTTCTTCAGCCCATGTCCTTTCACGTCCCAAACTGTCCCCACCACATCCCACCCTGTCCCTCTTCTGCGCCACCTGTCCTTCCCATCCCATGCCCTCATTCTGTCCCTGTCTCTCTTCCCAGTCCCCACATCCCTCTGCTGTCCCCTGTATCCCCTATCCTGTGGCTCTGTGTGAGGTTGCTGTGTTGGCCCCCAGCAAAATGGGGAAGAATGAGGCAAAACCGTGAAGTTATGTACTTTATTTTTTCTTCCTGTAAAAGCACAAACAGGCACAGGTTTTGCCATCACTGACTCTGGGAGGCAGGGCTGAGCCCATTGGGAGGGTATAAAGTCACCAGTGATGTCACCAAAGGATGGGGCGGCCAAGGGAAAGGGACATGTGGCCCCATCCAGCAGTGACACCATCAGCTGTGACACAGCTTTGACTCCATGATGACACTACATAGAGACCCCTGAGGACACTCCAATGGCATTCCAGATGACTTTCCTGGGATCCTGCTGTGACATCCCAGTGACACAATGGTGACAACCTGTGGTCCCTTGGACACCTGTCATATGCCATGGGGACACCTCTGTGTGTGGTGGTGACATCCTAGGCACCCTTCAGGACACCCCCAGGCCCTTCAAACATCCTTCACCTCTCCCAATTCCTCTCTGAGTGTCCTCACTGAGACCCACATGTTGAGACTCCTTGATATTCCCTGAGTTCTCCCAATAACCCCTAAAGGCCACCCCCCTAAAGCTCCCACAATTACCCCTGGGAATCCCTAATACAACCCTAGAGGACTCCAGGGACCCCTCCCCATGGCACCCCACAAAATAATGACAACATCCATCCAAAAGCCTTTCCATCCATCATGCCCTCCCATTGTCACCCATCTCAGTGCTCTCCACCACTGTCCCCTCATCGCCCGTCACTGTTCCCTCTGCCACTGTCCTCCCATCCCCCATCCCCACATCCTCCCTGGCCACCTTCTTGCCTCCATTCTCCCGCTGTCCCCGCGAGCTTCTGGCCTGATGGGTGACAGTCCTACGGGCACTGCTGGAGGCTGTGGAGCCCTCTAGGAGCCGGGGCAGGAGTGCAGCCCCAGCAGTACGACACAGTCCCCGCCCGGCGCAGGCATAGAGCAGCGGATTTAGGGCACTGCTGAGGAATGCCAGCGCAGTGGCTGGTGGCCGGATGGCCTTGGCAACCTTTCTTAGAGTCCCACTGCAGCTCTGCAGCTCCACCACCACTTCCAACAAGCTCCCGATGTGGTAGGGTCCCCAAGTGACGGCAAAGGCGACCACCACGGCAGCCACCAACTGCAGTGTGCGGCCCCGCCGTGCCAATCGCGTCTGCCGCAGCCGCCGCAGCAGCAGCCCATAACCAACGGCCACGGCGACCAGTGGCACAGCCCAGCCCAGCCCTGTCTCCAGCAGGTTGTGGGTCACCAGCCAAGCGGTGGAATTGTGGTTCCGCTTGCACATCCCGTTCTCCACGTGCCGGAAAGCAATAGAAGGGGTGGCCAACACCAAGGCTACCAGCCAAGTGATGGCAGCAGCCCCGTGGGCCAGCTGGGTGGCACGGTCACCTGCCAGCACTGCGGCTGATGGTCGGGACACCACCAGGCAGCGGTGCAGGCTGAGCAGCGCGATGAGGAAGACGCTGGTGTACATGGCAGCTGCACAGATGTAGTTGCAACCACGGCACGTGGCTGGGCCCAGGTCCCAGCGGCCAGTGCTGAGGAATCGGATGTAAACGGGGCCAGTGAGCAGCGTGGCCACGTCAGCCAGGGCCAGATGGGCCACCAGAAGCATGGGGATGCTGCGGCGACGGGTGATGATATAGCTCCACAGCACGAACGCGTTCCCTGGCAGCCCTATGACCATTGCCAGTGACAGCAGGGTCAGTCCCAGTGCTGCATTGGGAATTGCAGAGACAGTCACATTGGAAGGAGGTGTGGACATGGCAGGAGACCTGTGGGGAGAGGGGTAACCAGCATCCTGCAGAGCAGACTCATGCCTACCTCCTTCGCTCAGTCTCCCCATCCCTCCCCTCCAATACTGCCCTTCCTCGTCTGTCCCATCATCCTTCCTTCTTTACCCCCATTCTCTGAGATCTCTTCTTCCTTTGCTGCTCTCACCTCTTTCTCCGTATCTTGCATTCTCCGGACCTCAAAGCTGTCCCCCAGACCTCCCAGTGCACCAACCACATGAATCAAGTTTCCCCACAAACCTCGCAGATAATCCCTTAGGCATCCCAATTTTTCACCCAGACTTTCTAGTTGCCCCAAAAACCTCCCAGTCCCCTTCCAACCTTGCCACTGACCCCATCCCACAAATCTTACAGATCCTGAAGACCTCCCAGCTGTCCACCTACCCCTCCCAGTTGTCCTAGATGACCCTCACTAATGGCCCTGCCCTTCCAGCCTTCCCCCACTACCTCAGGGACTCACATATCCCTTCCCAGAGACCCTGGCAAGGGTGATGGGTCCTCGGTGCCCCCGTTGTCAACAGTGACCACGAACACTAGGTGCTACTTCCCTTCCACTCAGCCCCAGGAAGGAAACACTCACGCAAGAGGAAGAAGGCAGGGAAACCACAGGCAGGAAGGGGGCATATGAGGAGTGACTGCAGACCTTAATTTTTCCCTGCCTGAGTGGGGACAGGAGAGTGTAAAAGCGTAAAAGACAACAGGTAATGAGATCCTCCCAAATGTCCTCCAGGAGGATATTGCCTGGCTGTGGAGTTGGTAGGAGCACATCGAGACAGCATGGAGAGCACAGGGATGGTCTTCTATGTGCCTACTAATACGTATGGCTAACACACCTTCTTTTGTCCTTCATTCCTCCCTCCACCTCCCTATCCCAACAGATGAATCATAGCCTGAAAACTGGGAATCCCATAGATGATTGTACAATGGGGCACAATCCCAAGCAAGACAAAGATCGGTTACCCAGCTCACTGAAGGACACTTTCCCTCAGTCCACCACCACACCAAGGAGGAGTGGAGATCTCTGACAACAGCACTCAACTTCGTATCTCCCACCCAATTCCTACGATGCTGTTGACTGACAAAAAGTATCAAGACCAAAGACAGCCATTTTTGCTCTCTGCTGATGTCCCCCCCAGCTCCAAAGCCATAGGCCTGGGGATCAGCAGATGTTACCCAACAGAAAAATATAAATGGTGTCACAGACAGGATTGTCACAGATAAACTGCTACAAAAATACAGCATGTCCCTCCCCAGGAAGGAGCAGGCTCAGAAGTTTGGAAGGACCAAGAGAAATTGGTGTCAGAATTAAACAGGAACAGGGAACAGAAATGAAAGCAAAGGGAAGTTAATCTGAGGACAAACCCCTGAAAGCAGAGTAAAGGAAAGGAGTTGCCCCGGGCATTCTTGGAGTCAGGACTGACCACTAACCTGTGGAAAACTGCTGCTGAATAATAACAGCTCATATTAATTCCAATTAGACCTTAAAGATATTCGGCAAAATGTTTTAAATACAGAAGCACACGTTTTAATGATTAACACAACAAGCAATTCAGCTAGGATATCCCACGCAAACCGAATAAAACATTGTGTTCCAAACTGCCAAAACCAATTTCTGGCTCCCAGGTGAAAAATGCGTGCTGATCACTTGCTCCACAATTATGATTTGCTGTGAGAAATATTTCATGTTTCGGTGTTTTAAACAGATGCCCTCAGCACCCAGTCCTTCAGTTGAACATCCATCCCATCCCCTGTAGATAAAAGGGGGCTGCATGGATTTTGCTGGGACCACTCCTCCTCCCCCACGGCCCTTTTTAGGGCCAGCCTGTAGTGTTTAACCCTTTATTGTCCCTCAACAAGTCTCAGTGACATAAACCTGGAACATACTGAGTCAGGTCCTGCATTATTCCAAGTGCAGGGATGAGGTGCCAGGCAGTAATGCACAAAGCAAGCACACCCAGAGCTGCATAAATGTTGAGAAACAGGCATTGCTTTGAGAATTTCTCCCTGGTTGCTCTTCCTTATGTCATTTCCTTGGTGTGCAAAGCCAGATGACAGATCATTAGCAGAAAGCTGTCCTGCAGTATCGTGCAGGATTTCACAAAGCAGTGTGTGTTCTATCACACTAATTAGGCTTATGTAATTAAGTCTCACTTCCTTTCTGTGGTGTTGTTACGCATACTTGTGTTCTGGTATTTACACTCTTGTCCTTGTATTGCTGCACTGTCACTGCTGTGGCCAACCACAAGTTTCCCCCTATGGAATTTCTCCTCATATTTCTGCACATTTGTCAGTTCAAGGAACAATTCCCTGCTGCTGCTTTTCATCACTGTGACGCGTTGGGACCTCTGACATAATTTTCCGGAATCCCAGAAACCACCACACAAGGCAAATATACAAACATGTATTTGTCATAATAGGCAAAAATACAAACAGCACAGTCGTTTCAGTGCGGTCAGCATTCAGCCCGGCTGTTCTGCTTCACCTCCTGAGCCAAGTGATGTAGCTGTTCCATTTTCCCTTTGACTCCTTATCTGACAGCTTAAAACAACACATTCCTTTCAACTCCTCCCACCCATAACTGTGTCTTAGCAGAGGTAATGGCTGTCTGTGTGGGTCTTGTGGAGGAATTGGGAGAGCTGAAGGATGTTGGGGTCCCAGAGGTGTCCTGAAGGATGCCCAGGATGTCACCACCACACACAGGGGTGCCCCCAGGGCATATGAGGGGCACCCAGGGTAGCTTGAGGTGTCACCATTCTGTCATTGGGATGTCACGGTGTGTAACGACAGTGCTAAGTCAGGGCTTGAAGGAGTGATTGAGCACCTCAGTCACTGGGAGGGTGGGAAGGTGGGGCTAACCAGGGGAACTCAGGTGTATGCAATGCACCTGAGTGCCTGGGAGGGATGGAGCCAGGATCCACCTCTTCCCAGTCCTCATTTAAGGGCTGGCAGTGGAGGGGAAGCTATTTTGCTGGAGAACTCTGCCTACCTGAGACCTTTTGGAAGTGAGCTATTTTTCTTCCTTCATTTCTGTGTCTGCAGCTGCTTTGTTTGGGCTTGCCCTTGTTTGCTTCAGCCTAGAAATTTGCTACCCCACTAGAGGACCTGTGGGGATTAGAAAAGAGGACAGGGACAGGATGGGGGCATGAGATGGGGAGAGCAGGTGGTATGGATGTTGCAGGGTCAGTTCAGGACAGTGCGGCTCCTGCTGGTTTGCTGTGTCACCTGCTTCTCTCCTGCCCCTTATGGCCCTACGTGTTCCCTGTGGCATCAAAGGGCTCTGTGTGCTGCTGTGTTGGGGTCAGCAGGGCATGGAGGGAGAGAGCTGTGGGGCCACGTTTAGGGTCACCTCCTGACCATCCTTGTTATGCACACCACGCACCCCTCCCCCCCAGCCCCACGCGTGCTCTTCAGCCCTACACGTGTCCCATGTCTCAGCCTCACATGTATCCCGCAGCCCCCCCCGGGTTGGATCCACCCAGCCGGAGGCAAAGAGCAAAACACGATCACGAGCCAGTGAACCCTGGCGGCTGTTTCTCCCACCCCGTGGGCTCTGCCCCTCCCCCCGAGGCCCTGGGGACCCCAAGCATCCGCCTCCTCCCTTCCTCAGCTCTGCACTGTAACTCCTACACTGGGGGGCCCAACGCCCAGGGACCCCATCTCACACTTCCCCATCCTACTGTCCCATGGGGGTCTGGGTGCCTCCAACCCCCACGCAGTGGATCCCTGCCGAGCCTGCACTCCTCACCCCGTGTCCCGCAGCAACAACAACAGCCCGGGAGGGGGGAGGAAACGGGAGGGGGGGAAGCGGGGCCAGGGGTGGGGGGGAGTGCAGGGCCAGGCTGAGTCATGGCCCCACCCGGCCCTGTCTGTGGCTCAGCCCTATGGCCCCATATGGCACTGTCACGCAGCATGGCCCCATGGCACAGCTGCATAGCCTCAAGGCTCTGCCCCATAGCAAGCCCCTGCAGCATAGTTTCATAGCCTGGCCCCACAGCCAAGCCCATAGTGAGTCTACCCCAAAATTGTAGTGGGTTCTGTTCTTACTGGGAGCACTGGGGGATATGGAGCAAACAGCGCTGTGGTTACTGGGAGCTGTGGGGCAGGTGGCACCGACTTAATGGGAGCACTGGGACTATTGAAACAGGTGTCACTGTGGTTGCTGAGAACCTCAGGACAGGTGGCAGGGAATGCTGGAAGCTGTGGGGCAGGCAGAGCTGGGATTCCTGGGGGCACTAGCTGTGGCTGTGCTGTGTTACTGGGATCACTGGTGTAGGCAGTGCTCAGGTACTGGTACCATTAGGACAGGTGGCACTAAGATACTGGGAGCACTGGGATGGGCCATGCTGTGTTACTGGGAGCACTGGAATCACCAGGACAGGCAGTGCTGGGTCACTGGGAGTGCTCCGGGCTGCAGCCCCCCCCGCATTCCCCCACGCGTTGTGTCACTGCTCTGCTATGGCAGCTGGACCCCACATCTGGCTGCGCCGCCCAGATGTTTGGTTGCCGCAGCGACCGCCGCCTGTAAACACATCGTGGCCCCCTCTGGGTCCACCCGGTCCCGCTCAGCCCAGGGTGGAGGGCCCTGTAGGGAGGGGGGGGTCTGCTTTCCTTCACTCCATGGGGAGGTGGTCCCTACATCCCCCGATGCTCAGCATGTGGCCAATGTGAGAACATCATGCCCCTCCTCGGCCACATTCTGCTCTGCTGCTGGCCGCTGTGTCCTGGAGCTGCCTGCTGTGCAGCCCACAGGTGCCGTGGCCACGCCATGAGCTCAGCGCTGGCCCTGCGCCCGGCCCGGGGCTATGAAAGGGCTGGAGCCGCCCCGGAGCCCTCAGTGCTGCGCTGCTGCTGCCGAGCCGGGCCTGGCCCAGCAGAACCTAACAGAACCCAATTGGGCCGAACAGGGCCGAGGTGAGCAGAACTGGTCTGAGCTGAGCTGAGCCAAACTGGGTTGAACCAAACCAGCCAGACCCAACCGGGTGCAGCTGGGCTCACCTGAACCCATCTGGTCCAGTTCCAGGCCCACCCACAGGTCACATCCTGACCCCCGGGAGCAGCTCCAGCACTGGGAAAGTACGGGAGGAGATGGGAGGGAAGGAAGGGTGGGGATGGAGCTGCAGCATCATTGCGTTACGGGGCTGCTGGGATTACTGGAAGAGCTGGCTGGTGCTACTGGTGCTGCTGGAGCTGCTGAAGTTACCGGAGTTATTAGAGTTAGTGGAGCTGGTGGGATTGCTGGAGTTATTGGGGTTGCTGGGGTTACTGGTGCTGCTGCAGTGGCTGGAATTATTGAAATTGCTGGAGGATTTGACTTTCTGGTGCTGCTGGCATTACTGGAGTTACTGATGTTACTGGTGTCACTGGAATTACTGGAGAAATTGGCATGCTGCCAACATTGCTGGTGTTGCCAGCATTGCTGATGTTGTCAGTCTGACTGGTGTTAGTGGTGGTGGTGGTGTCAGTAGAATTACTGTGCTGTGGTGTTATTGGAATTCCTGACGTTATTTGTGTTCCCTGTGGTACTGGTGTTGCTGGGCAGGGTTATTGATGGTTACTGGAGTTCATATACTCTGAAGGGTGGTGTGTGAAGCTACTGGAGTTGGTGGGAACTGGGATCACTGGGGTGTACCTGGCAGCACTGGGGCCACCCCACAGCCCCAGCTCTCTATGGGGCCCTTGCAGTCTGGGGGGGGGAGGCAGGGAGGGAAGAAGGGGGGGAGTGACGCCACGGATGGGAGCTGGGTGCAACCCCACGGTGTCCAAGACCTGTGTGTGTCCCCGTGTCCCCTGAGAGGTCCCTGTGCCTCTGGCATCCGTCCCCTCCCTGCAGGATCATGACCCCGGGGCTGCCGCTGCTGCTGCTGGCGCTGGCACTTCGGAGAGCACAAGGGAATGCGGGAACATCCCCCGGTCCTCCCCCTGTCCCGCCGGAGCTCTCCTGTGGGGCAGAGGTGCTGGAGGCAGTGCTGGGACGGCTGCGGGCACTGGAGGGAGAAGTGCGGGCACTGCAAGGACAGTGCGGGGACAGCCTGGGGCCCCAGGCCGGCACCGGTATGGGGGCAGGGAGGGGGCAGATGGGGACATGGAGGGTGTGGGGATCAGAGATATGGGGGATGTGTTGGGGAGAATGGGAGATATGGGAAGACTTTGGAGATACGGGATGAATGGGGGTGTTTGAGAGATGTGGGGGATCAGTGGGGACATGAGGGATGCGGTAGGGAGCATGGGGATAGGGATGTGGGAGCTATGTAGGGAATGTGGATGGGGGGACATGGGGAGGAGGGGATGCAGGGAAATGTGGAATGTAGGATGATAGGGAGTAACAGGGGAACATGGGTGATGTGGACAAGGGAACAGTGTAGGACATGGGGGTGTGGGGACATGGGGAGGACATTGGGACATGGAGGACACGGGTGCATGTGAGACATAGTGACCTGTGGGGGTGTGTGAGGGACATATGGGGAGACATGGAGAAGTCAAAGGGAGGTGTGTGGCTCACAGGGACCCTGCTCAACCCCACAGGGAGCACAGCAGCACGGAGGCTGTGTGACACCCCTGGGGCGGGGGGCTGCTGTGGGTGCCGTATGGGGGAGGCCGGGGATGGTCTCCCGTGTCCCGCACCCCGCTGTCCCTTCGACTGCAGTGACCAGGGACGTTGCCGAGCTGGCCGCTGCCACTGCTTTGAGGGCTTCACGGGACCATTCTGTGCGACCCCCGTCTGCCCCCCTGGCCGTGGTGGGCCCCACTGCACCCTTGGTATGTCCTGTATGTCCCCAAGCCCACTGCTCCCTTGGCATCTGGTCCTGATGCCACCTCCAAGTATCCTTGTCTGTCCCCCAGTTTCCTCTGCTGTCCTTCAGTGCTCTCCCAGTGTCACCATCCCATGGCTTTCAGTTGTCCCAGATCCCTCCAGTGCCCTGAGCATCCGGTGTTCCCATGGCTTGGGCGCTTTTGTTCCTTGGAAAATCCCTCAGTGTCCCATCCCCTGGGTCTCCCGTCCTGTTGTGTCCCCACTCAATGGATTCCCCATATCCTGGTGTCTTCATGGCTTGGGCACCCTTGTTCCTTGGAAACTCCCTCCATTTCCCCATATTGTCTTATCCCTTTGATCCGTTGTCCTGTGTTGTTCTGAAGGTGTCCCCATGCTGTGGCTGCCTCATCCTGCAGGGCTCAGAAATGTTCCTGTGGGGCCACCTCCCATCTGGGCTCTTTCCCTGCAGAGATCCCCTCAGTGACACTGCGCCTGGCTGCGCGCAACCAGACGTCCTTCCGTGTGACCTGGCCGCGGCCAGCCAAGCCCGTGGATGGCTATGAGGTGGCAGTCATCCCCATGGTGAGCTGGAGATGGGGATGGGAATGAGGACACATCCTCAGCACAGTGATGTCCCAGTGTGGTGGCTCCAATGTGTCCACAGTGTGAAACTTGTCCCCAGGATGAGCTGTGTCCATGGTTATTGACTTCTGCCCCATTTGGAGGCATCTCTAAAGTGTCTTCATTGTGTCCCCAACATGTCTCCAATGTGCCTATTGTCTTCAGAACATGACAGAGGCCAGTTCACACCATTGCAGCATGGCTCAGGAGTGCTGACATCTCCTCATTGTGTCCCTTGTGCTGAGGATTAGTCGTGATGGTGTCACCTATCTGCTGCTTGTCCCCAGCACATCCTCTGTCACAGCTGTGGCCACTCTTCTGCTGCCCAGCATGGGGCAGTGATGTGTCCCCACTGTGTCCCCGAGACATCTCCCAGCTCTAGGAGAAGCCATTGACTGTGGCCGCCTGCCTCGTTCAGGAAGAGGTCCCACATGGCATCTTCAGTGTGTCTTTGATGTGTCCTTTGTCCCCAGGATGAACCAGCAGCACTGACCACCCACGAGTTGCCTAGCTCTGCTGTCACCTTTGAGGTGACAGGGCTGACACCTGGACAAGCTTTCGAGATCTTCATCCAGGCCCAGCGGGAGCAGCACCTCGGGGCGCCGGGCACCTTGCGTGTCCGCACCTGTATGTGCCACCTGCTGTGGGACAGGCATGGGGACAGAAGGGTCATAGGGAGGCATGGGGACAGCAGGGGTATGGAAGTGGCATGGGGACAGCAAGGGGGACAGAAGGGGCATGGGGTGGCATGGGCACAAGAATGAGGGCAGGGATAACAGTGCGAGGGGGCAACATGTATGGGGACAGCATTCAGCACAGAGATGGGAATGAGCATAGTGTAAGGACAGGCATGGGGACAGGAATAATGCAAGCACAGGGTGGGGACATCATGGGCATGTGGTTTGAGGTGGGGACAGAGATGGTTGAGGTGGGGACAAGCATGGAAGTGAAGATGGGGCAGGGATGGGTATTGGAATGGGAGTGGAGATGGGTGGTGGTTGCAGCCTCTGTCTGTCCCCATGTGTCTTTATTGTTCCCATGGCTCTGCGGGTCCACATGCATCTGTCTGTCTTGCAGAGGTCTGTGTGTCAGCAGTCTGTCCCTGTGGGTCCGTATGTATCCCTGGGCCTGTCCATCTGCATCTATCCCCATGGGGCTGTGTGTCCCATGGGCTCATCTGTTCACTTGGGGCCTTGTGTCCCTTCAGGTCCGTGTGACCCCAGCCTATCCCCATGCATCCCCGTGGGTCCACGTGTCTCCACATGTCCTGATGCTTCTTCCCTGTGCGTCCCTCTGTCCTTATCTGTCTGCCCCCATGAGTCTGGATGTCTCCAGGCATTCCCTATGATTCCCCAATGTCCACAGTCTGTCCTTAGGTATCTGTGTTGTTCCTGTGTCCATCCATCCCTGTGTCCCTGGGCTGTGGAAGATGAGGGATTTTGGGGTCAGGCTAGTGACCTGGATCCCTTCTGTTTTCACAGTGCTTGCCCAGTCTCTGCCCACCCATGGGGGGCCACGGGGGACCCCTACATTTCTGGCATCTCCAGTGGCCCCAGCATCACCATCAGCCCGAGGGTCTCCAGCATCCCCACGGTCCCCATTGTCACCGGCATCACTGGGGTCCTTGGGGTCACCAGCATCCCTGAGGTCCCCAGTGTCACCGGAGTCCTCAGCAGCACCAACTTCCCTGGAATCCCCGTGGTCTCTAGAGTCCTCAGTGTCCCCGAGGTCACCTACATCTCCATGGTCCCCAGCATCCCCACAGTCCCCACTATCCCCAGCATCCCCTGTGTCCCCAGTGCTCCCGAATGTCCCATCCCTGCATGAGCTGGGGGTCAAGCTATCTTCCTACAATGGATCCTTGCTGCAGCGCCTAGAAAGCCATCTCCGGGCCACGGATTTCCCACTCCGAGGCAACCAGACAGTGCCTGCAGTGGCCCGTGCCATCCTCTCCTACCTGCTTCGCCGCAGCCCGGCCTCACTGCGTCATCAATTCCTCCGCCACCTCCAGCAGAACCCCCACCCCAAACCCCAGGTGTTGCCAGGAGCTGCTGGTGAGGCCCTGGTGGATTTGGATGGGTTGCGGGGTCATGCAGAGACCATAGTGATCCGCTACCGGCTGCTGGAGGAGCCGGAGGGGGATGAGGGGGAGATGAGGGTGCCAGGGGACACCACAGTGGCCCGGGTATCAGGGCTGGTGCCAGGAGCCACATACCGGGTGGAGGTGCATGGTGTGGTGCGGGGACATGTCTCCAAGTCCTACACTTCCCTGGTGACTGCAGGTAGGTGACAGGGATGGGGATGGGAATGTGGACAGCTTTGGTTGGTGGCATTCTATAACCCCATGCTGCTCTTCGAGTTGCAGGGCTGGGTGACACCAGTGAGCTTCCACCAGAATGGGAGAACCTGTATGAGATGGAGAGGACTGAGCCCCAAGGGGCCATGGCCAAAGCAGGTAAAACCCCAGATGATGGCAGTGGTGGCAATGGGATAACTCAGGTGTTCACAAGCACTTGGTATCCAGGTTGATGTGGTTGGATGTTTGGGTGGTGAGATGAGTGGATGGAGGAGGGGATAAAGGGATGAATGGAAGGACAGACTGAAGGTTGAGTGCAGGGTAGATGGGTGCATAGATACTTATACCTTGCATCTTGACATGACTGTTGCAGCAACATCAGAGGAGGAATCACCACAGCGGCCCCACCTAGGCATGCTCACAGTCTCCCATGTGACTCCTAGCTCCATCCAGCTGCAATGGAGTGTCCTTGAGGGCACCTTTGACTCCTTCACAGTGCAGTACAAGGATGCACAAGGCCAGCCACAGGCACTTGCTGTGGATGGTGGGTCACGCACGGTGACCGTGCCTGGGCTGTCGCCATCCCGCCGCTACAAATTCAACCTGTACGGGGTGTGGGGGCGGAAGCGCATTGGCTTCATCTCCACTGATGCTGTCACAGGTGAGGCTACTGTGAGCCCCATCCACGCCCCCATTTGGATCACTTCATGGGAACTTCGAACTTGGGAGAGAAGGGAACAAATCTTGGCCCTTGATTTGGTGCTGTGTATGACTGTTTGCAGGGTCTGAGGGCTGGAGAGCTGAAAGGATGGAGAGCTGGCTGAGGGTGTGAGTGGCCCATGGATTTGTTGTAGGTAGATGGATTGGTGGGAGAGATGGTGGGGACTGAATGGGTGCAAAAATGGATTTTTAGATGAGTGGAGAAAATGGGTGGGTGAACGAATGGACAAAAAAAACACAACAGTGGATGTATGACAGTCTTGATTAGCACGCAAAAAAAGATAATAAAGGAGATGAGAATGGATGTGAAATATGGAGAATCAGAAAGAAATATATATGGCTTTCTGAGCTGAGTGGGTGGCTATAGACAGATGGATGCGCATACAGCTAGATAAACAATTGTAAAAATGAGTGCATAGCTAAAAGGATACCTGATTTCTATGTGTATTATCTTGCTCCCCTTAAAGCTTCAGCAAAACCAAAACAAGAATCACCATCACAGCCACGCCTGGGTGAGCTGACGGCATCCGTCGTCAGCCCCGACTCCGTCCAGCTGGAATGGAGCGTCCCCGCGGGCTCCTTTGACTCCTTCACGGTGCAGTACAAGGATGCACAAGGCCAGCCGCAGGTGGTGCCCATGGACGGTGGGTCACGCTCCGTGACCGTGCCCGGGCTGTCGCCGTCCCGCCGCTACAAGTTCAACCTGTACGGGGTGTGGGGACGGAAACGGCTGGGCCCCATCTCCACTGATGCCATCACAGGTGAGGATGGTGTGTGTTGCATCCATGTCCTGCTGGCAGTGGGCTTGGCCTTTAGCCGGAACCTATCATGGCTCCTCCTGCTTACATTCATCATGCTTGAGAAGGAAGCATTTCCTTGCTAATGGTTTGGAAAGACTGTAGGGGTGGGTGCCTGCAAGATTGGAGGAGGCATGGAGGTGGGAATGGCTGATAACTGTTGCGTTCTGGATGGACGGAAGGATGGATGAGACAGATCTTGAGTAGACCTGTACTCTGAGCACAGCTGTATGGTGGAATGGATGTTGGTTCGGTGGTTGAATAGATGGAGGGTTGACCGCGTGGTGGTTTTTGCAATGAATTACTACCTCTGCATTGCAGCTGCAGCTCCAGTACAGGAGGAAGCACCTTCCCCACCACGCCTGGGTGAGCTGACGGCATCCGTCGTCAGCCCCGACTCCGTCCAGCTGGAATGGAGCGTCCCCGCGGGCTCCTTTGACTCCTTCACGGTGCAGTACAAGGATGCACAAGGCCAGCCGCAGGTGGTGCCCGTGGACGGTGGGTCGCGTTCCGTGACCGTGCCCGGGCTGTCGCCGTCCCGCCGC